AGGGACGTGATGCCCGAAGGGAAGATTGTCGCAATCCTTGAGACGATAGTAGACCATTGTCGTGATCCAAGAGTTTCTGGAGATGCTCGGTGTAAATCATGTAGGCGCGGTGCCTGTGCGGCAAAGATGGCTGAGGGGTTGCTGGAGTCAGGAAAGGTATTTCAAAAGGAGTTCGACTCCTACCTGGTTGATCCCTCGCAGAGCGACGCACGCAATGCATCGTTTTATGGAGGACTCTGTGGACGTCTCCTCCAATGCCTCCCGCATACTAGAACTACCCATCGATTGCTGTCGCTAATGGAGACTCGAGAGTTTCTGAAGCAGGGCTCAGCAATGGATTTGAAAAGAAGAGAGAACCACTCACTCACCCGACCCTAGTCGAATTTGAAAGTTTGAAGTTTGAACATGTAGGCCCGACGATTTGATCTACCATAGTCGCCATGCGTGACTGTAATCAAGATAGCTCGAATTCTGAGATTCCTCTTCAGGCGAACTAAGTAACTGGAGCTGGAGGGAGGCATTGTGCATCATCGGACGCGAAATCAGTTCCGCGATGGCACACTTGATATCGGGTTGGAGTTCCCACCTCTCCACTGTCTCATCTTCTTCCCCTCCGAGCTGCTATTTCATACACCTTCTTGCTTATATTAGTCGCTTCATTTCTTGGTTCACAGCAGGATACTTATATTAAAGTTGAAGGTCACGGCCTATGCAACATCTATTGATAGAGATTCGATTATTTGATTGGCGAATGCAAAACAGATGACTATGCAGTTAAAGTCCCTCAGCAGGCTCTACCCCATGAACGCTAATATGATACAGGCATGTTGTAGGTGCTCCCCAGTTGCTTAATACCTCGACAATGATGGCCTCGAAAGATGCATCAACGTTCTCGGCAGCCTGTGAGAGCTTGAATGTTTGTGCCTTCGAAACTTGCGCGTATTGCATTTCTGCAAGCCGCCAGAGTGTCCCTGACCGTGAACCACGAATAGTGTTTGAAAGTCCGGTTCGGTCCGGTTTTTTGATGCCCAGGGGTGTTAACCATAACCGTAACCGGTCTGCATTTTCCCCAGAAGTCAAAAGACCAGACCGGACCGCAAAAAGACCGCAGACCGCGGTTTTTTGCGGTCTATAGACCGGTTTCGGTCTGCATCGGTTTTAACTGGTTTATGGCCGGTCTTTAGGCCAATATTTTAAAATTATTAATCGGTAAATTTATTAACATTTTTAATAGCTTCAAAACGAGCCCAAGAACGTTAAATTCCGTTAGGAATTGGTGCTTCTATAAAATAAGTCTGGTACATCTATTATTCCCCAAAGTAATTTACATTTTAATTCATATCTCTCTCGTTTTTTTACCAAATTGTACGTTCTTGGGTGCGTTTTAAAGGGTATTTAAGGGGCTACAAAAGACCGGTCCAAACCGGTTAAAACCGGTTCACGTTAACCGGTCTTTTTGCGGTCTTTACATTTCAAAAATAAAAGACCGTAACCGCAGGTCCGGTCTTTTGCGGTCTTGGTCCGGTCTGGTTACGGTCTTTTCCCAGTCACGAGACCGGACTTCCAAACACTAACCACGAATCCCGGTCCTAAGAAAGTCATCCATTGTCCGGTTTTCCAATGACATGTTCGTAATGTTGGCCGATATGTCAACCTGCCCCCACAGAACGAGGTCACGCGGCACTCGAGCATGCTCTTTGGCGGACACAATGCCGTGGGATTGATGGATTGTTACGTTCGCGATTTCGATGGGCCCAGAAAAGGAAATGCCAATATGGCCACTGGGGCCTGTAAACTCCCAGCATTCACCGAGCTCAAATGTTTTTTCCATAATGACACTCGGAGGATTGATAAGGACAGAGTTCATATCAAAGCCTCTAACTTTCCGTTGAAACCAGGAATAAATCGTTTTGCGTGGAATTCCATGGGTTTCTGAAGTGTGAGTTTGAATGATCTCCGCCCCTTCGCCTTTGCTCGCAAAATTTCGTGCTCGCGACATTTCATTCCAATCTTGAAAACGGTGAAAACCATCCTCCACAGTGGTCACGCAGGCGTTGAGATTATGAAATTCATCGCGGGTGGGATGTCCAAGCAAGTCGTTTTCAGAGAACACAGCGGATCGAGGAGGATGGAGGGTTAAAACTTGGTGATATGAGTGTGCAAAGGCGCAGATGGGCTCCAAGTCAAATGGGAAGTATATGTGAGAGTAGAGTGTGCACACAGTGCGGGATACTCGACAAGTAACGATAGCAATCTTCCACATGCTGACGATAGCGATGACTGCGGTGACGAGGACAAATTTTTGGATTCTGTGTGAGGTAGAAGAGCTTGGCTGCTTCTGTAATGTCAAAATTCAACGTTCAACCTCGGAAAACCATTACTGTCGGGTTTGCACTTACCACGCGCGGTACAGCCACTGGCCCGCTTTGACAGGGTTCACTATGGCCGATAAGGTTGAAACCTTCTGGTATTTTCGAGTCATTGGTAAGAAAGTGTTCCAAGGCAAACGGATCTTGAAAGTCGCGGGGAACATAATCCGCGAACGGACTGGTGGGTACCACTTTTATCATATAAATAAGGTAACTGCCTAGAGCTCCCTGTGTATAAGTCCACAGTCTTTATGATAGGAATCATTCCAGTTACCATGTCTATTCATTAGGCGATTTTCATTAGTTATCTGGGCGATATCATGGTGATTTTCATTATTTATCTGGCCGATATCATTGCAATTTTCATTAGAAACCTGGGCGATATCATTGGAAATTTCATTAGCTACTTGGTCAATATCATTGTGATTTTCATTAGTTATCTGGCTGATATCATTGTGATTTTCATTAGATACCTGGGCGATATCATTGGAAATTTCATTAGCTACTTGGCCAATATCATAGCGATTTTCATTAGAAACCTGGGTGATATCATTGGAAATTTCATTAGCTACTTGCAATATCATTGCGATTTTCATTAGTTATCTGGCCGATATCATTGCGATTTTCATTGGATACCTGGGCAATATCATTGGAAATTTCATTAGCTACTTGGGCAATATCATTGCGATTTTCATTAGAAACCTGGGTGATATCATTGGAAATTTCATTAGCTACTTGGCCAATATCATTGCGATTTTCATTATTCATCTGGCCGATATCATTGCAATTTTCATTAGAAACCTGGGCGATATCATTGGAAATTTCATTAGCTACTTGTGGGCAATATCATTGGAAATTTCATTAGCTACTTGGTCAATATCATTGCGATTTTCATTAGCTACTTGCCCAATATCATTGTGATTTTCATTAGAAACCNTGGGCAATATCATGGAAATTC